GGTAGTATGTTATCTTTAACATATAGACATATGCCATCGCGGACTTTTCTGTAGGCATATATAAGATACACAATTCCACCATACATTGATACACTACATAAACTTTCGGACCCCCCCGGCTCGGACGCGAGGCGCGGGGTCACGGGGCGCCCGCGCGGCCCGGTCGAATCACGGCGACACGAAATTAATTTCGTTGCGCATTATTTTGATTTTGCTATATCTCCTAAGGTATTCATTTAATTTGCATGGTGTAAAGGGAAAAAATAATCTTCATGAAATGCTCAAGCCAACTAACGTATTTAAAATGATAAGGATTAATACCGTATTTGTGTAAATAGCTTTCCAATTACCGCTTTATAATTGCCCATTTTTTAAAGTATTAAAATGGATATAGTATGTTATCCTTAAGAGATAGACATATGCCATCGCGGACTTTTCTGTAGACCTATATAAGATACACAATTCCACCATACATTATTTTGTTATATCTCAAAGGGTTTAGGCAGCGTTTTCGTTTTTTTCCGACACCTCCAACATATATGCATACAAAAACTTAATAAATTATATACTAAAACCTTCCTCGAGAACCACTCTATCCATTGGTGAAAACAGCATGAAAATCGGTGCAGTAGTTTTTGAGTTTATCGCGAACAGACAGACAGATAGACGCGGCGGAGGACTTTGTTTTGAAATATGTAGTAATTCTGTAACTACCTGAACGTACATGTGACCCTACCCCTTCCTCTAGTGACTCCGTATAGCAATACGGGACGGATTAGTCAATCTCATTTAAACTATTATTGCACCTTGGAAAATCCGCCTAAAAACCAGCTATTTGATCTATATTATTATTTTCCACACAACATTCCAACAACTTATTTAAATATCTTGGAATTCCTACGCCTTTTCGTATGTATTTCGCGCGTTATTGGAAATATCGATTTTTCGCTTCACCATGGGCTACACCGTGGATACCAGATGCCCAACACATGGCCCCGACGATCTAAGTCTACTTGTTCAAAATATTGCTAAATTTTCTCCGAAGGACTGCGATGGTCGAGCTGTGCAAATTTATTACTCCCGGTGACAAGAGGCACCAGTTTCTCAACGACTTCATGGCGACGCTAAACCTACTTGAAAACTCTTAACTTTTCAATAATTATTGCTGAGTAGACCCATCCGTTCCGAGAACTAACAAATAATCTATCACGAGCCCCGGCTGTGTTACAGATTACAGTATTCGGAATCGCCAGGGGCCACGGTGGGCGAATGACGCTACAGACTACAGTGGCCCAGCGAGGTAAAGGTTGAAAATATTACAAAATTTTTTTTCTTTGAAACTATAAGGAGTTTACAAAAAAAATACGATATTAACTCCATTTTTCATGACGCATCTATTACCAAATTTTTTGTATTGTTGATGTTTTGCCACTATAGTCTCCTTTTCAAATAAATTTAACATATTCGAGGCAACTGTATTTTGAGTATTCAAACAGCGTTTAAACTTAACGTCGTTTTTATGGAGCGGAAGGCCATCGACAAACAGACGAAGTGCGGCAAATCCAGGGGATTAACGCTGTAAAGTGATTTTCTGCAGTTGCACACACAATATCAGGGATTATTACCCGTTCCACAAACCGAACTGAGCCACCTTCGATCAACATGAAATTGGCATTGCAGGGCACCTGCATCCGCCAGGATTTGCTGCGTATTGTCGCATAAATACTAATTAATTAATATCCGGACAAGCACGGGGCCAATTTATTTGGATTATGCTAATTTCCATCGATTCAATGGAACGGCGCAATTGTTGATTGTGACAATTAATTCTATCGGAAGTTCATGGTGACAGATGCATTTACGCAAGGAAGATATGTACCAAAATTGGCGCGAAAACTCATCATTGTCCCGTCATCATCCCAAGAATATTAAAACTATAAAAACAAACATAAAATTAATACCTATTACACATTCAAACAGTGAGAAATTTATGTTTTATATGAAATAAAAAAAACGTTCCGACCAATAGTCAAGCAGCAGCGTGTGCTTGATTACTCCGGCACACAAAAAAAAGAAACGTGTTCTGTACCTTTGATTTGACCCAATAGGCTTTATTTTGACGTGCTGCACCCCCTTACCCCCCCATCAGAAAAAATCGCAAAATAATACGGAAAAATTGCGAAAAATCGTCAAAAATCACATTAGTGAGCACAAAAACTCGAAATTTTTTTTCTGATCTTGATCAAGCGTGTTTCTTATGTATTTTGATACATTGAATTCGACTCTGAAGTCTATTACGTATATCCCCCCACAGATTTTGCAAAAAAACGCAAAAAAGTAATATGAAAATGACAAAAAATCATATTAATTGTGATGTACCAAAATATTCAAAAACCACCTTACCAATAATTTTAGTATCATTATATTTCATTTTGGTAAACAACATGCTTTTAATTTCGCATCATTTTTGGCGATGATTTACTATCTCTACTTCATGTTACATCCTTTAGGTCCTTGGTATCTGAAAAAGAAAACAATTACTGTTAGAGTAAACAAAGATTTTAAATTCTTCTGTTGTGTTATGTTCTCATTAAATATTAGATTTAGGTATCTTAAATATTTAGGAATCCAACTAGAGTTTAATTAATTTAAATTTAAATTAAAGTTAACGGATACACGTCAAATTTCACTATGATACCCTCAGGAGTACCTCAGGGATCGCACTTGGGGCCTTTAATGTTCATAATTTATATTAATAAAATATAAAATAAAATGCCTTAATTATTGCAGCTTGTTAGGATATGCTGATGATTTTAAGCTATTTTTACTTATTCCTGATGTACTGATTGTCTAACACTTCAAAACGATCTTGATGCTTATACAATTTTTTGTAAAAACAATAATTTGTTTATTAATTTCGACAAATGCCATATAAAGACTTTTACTCGAAATAAACATCGTTTCCTATATCAATATAGTATTAATTTTAAATCGTAAAAATGAAATTAGAGACCTTGGAGTGATTTTTGATAGTAAAATGTTATTTGATGACCATATTAATAAACTAATATCTAATACACTTAAGATGCTGGATTTCATTATGATATGAGGCAGTCGAAACAGTTCACTAATTCTAAAGCCATATTGCTTTTACGTTACCCGTTTGTATTTAGTAAAATTAATTTTGCTTCAGTTATATGGAATACTCAATATAATACATATATTAGTCGCATTGAAATGAATCAACATCAATTTTTAAAATTATTTTCTTTTAAGTTTAGGCGAACTTTGAACGACGACAATTTTCATAGATTGTGTGTTGAATATAATATTATAAGTTTAGCTAACAGGAGAGTGTTAGCGGATGTTATTAACCTGTATAAAATTATTAATGGTAAAGTCGACTGTGTCCAATTAATTAGCGAAATATTTTTTAATATACCATGCAGGCCATTTAGGTCCTACGACTTTATTTAATTCTATTTAAGCATACCAATGCCTTCGCAAACTCTCCTGTGTGCAGAATGATGCGTTCTTATAACGATATTTCCAGCAGGTTAGATTTATTTTCTACATCTTTAGTTTCTTTTAAGAGATCGCTCAAACGTATACTTCTTTTATAATATTTTTTTTGCTATGCTTTTTATGATGTTTTTCTTTTATAATATTTTTTATGCTATTTATAATCTTAAAACTCTTTGTACTGTTGTTTGATNTAAAGAGGGATAATCCCCCTCGATCCCAAATCATTGAGGCCAATTTCTAGCCATAGAATAATGGCGAGTCTGATCCTTCCATTGATCTATGGTTCGTTGTGATTTTCTAACCTCAATTGGAAACGTTAAATATAGTGAAATTTATTTTGACGTTTCAATCTGACATTAATTAAAATTAGTCATACAAATACATATTGTTAAAAGAAGAGAAATCCAATTTAATTAGCGCGATACTTGAAGTTTTGTGAAAGAAGCATTAGCCCGCACCAGCTCTATCTCTCTCGCACACGTCTGTGCCATTGCCGTTTATCAGGGAGACTAGATAAGGAGCACGAACTCATACGGGAAAATTAGACGACATTAATTGTAACAAGATTTCTCAGGGTTGCCAATATAAGACGAACTAGCATTTGGGAACTTACCCAATTTTCTTCTGTTCAATGTTGGTTGGTATCATTTAACATTTTGACAGGGATCGTGTCATGGTACGGTTATGTTATAATCAAATAACAAATAACCTCATTTATTTTAAACACTTTAAACTGCTTTTTTTGTATGTTTACTTGTAAGTAGATTATGGAAGTAATACTGAAGAATATTTTGTGAAAAGTGCTATTAACGGTCATTTTAATTTACTTTTTATTATCGTTATTGGTTACTGGATCTACTACAGTAAATTTTACAAACACGAACTTCTTCAGCATATTAATAATTAAAACCAAATAATTAAATTTTTCAAGTTCATACATTTAAGTTTATATATATTTATATATCAGTAAATATTTAATATATTATTTTATTATTGATTTAATACATTTTGTTTTGCTTTCTGCCCATTCCAGTAGTTACATCAAATATTGAAGTTCTGAACACAATCTTTTATTTTTATAGATCAAATTTTCATACACAGACACTAAAGTCTACAGGCTTAATAAAAAACATTGTTTTGAGGACAAATAGATATATTATCGTTTAAAAAATTAAATTTATATCTACATCTTATTAAATTAAATATTTAGTTTTTCTATCATTTGGTGTTTATAAAAACTCTGGTTGTCTTGAGTATTTACTGACTGATTCATTGAATCATTCATTAAAGAATGACTTATTAAATAAAAAGCTAAATTTACTTTATTATAAATATTTTTATTTGTAAGAAATATCTTTATTTCTAATAAAAATCCATACATTTTAATTCATAAATAATTAAATGGATATAAATCAAAATTATTTAATATGCAATAAAAAATAAATAACGGATAATAATCTAACGGAAAAGAAAAAACCCCTAATTTTAGGGGAAAAAAGAAAACACAGTTTTCGTTCCCTAGCTAATTAATAATAAAGTTATAAAATACTACAACAGGTATGCTATCCTTAAACAATACTGTGTTCGTTTAAAATAATCTGAAATTAAAAACTTAATAACGATTGATTTTTGTGAGATATCTTTGTCGAATTAAGTAGGTACTAACCCTTCTGTTTATTAACTCATTCTCTGTTCCTTCAATATACTTTGATATCTCATATTTTCTCAAAACATTTGTAATTGACCAAATTAAATGTAATTCCCTAGATGGGCTTTTTTTTTGAGGGATAATACGCCTGCTTCTCCATTTTTCGTTTTTTGGAATTATTTTTTGTCACTTCCACTTCTTTACGCAATAATTTAATTTTTTCCATAATATTACTATATTCTCCTTTATTTAAACATTTCAAAAAGTTACCCAAATCTTCAATTTCTGCATTTCTAATCATTTCCTCATCTGCATTGCTGTCCACACTGTCAATTATTTTTTCTTCAATAAACTGAGTAATTTCTCTTTGATGGGATATATTTATTTCAGATTCTTTTTCCAAGGCTGTTATATCGTCGTCTAAAACATAATTAGTACCCACTCGCTCCTCATACATACATACCAAATGCACATGTTTACATAAGGTACTTCTCACAGCATACTCCTTACATTCACATCGATAACGATGAACACAAAATTTACATACTCTGCAAAATAGAGTTCTACATGTGCTTCCACACATTTGATTACAAGTAATATTATAATAAGACTTACCATCTGAAGATTTTACCTGATAATGTCCTTCTTCTTTTTGAATGATCTCCACCGTATTCTTCTCTGATTCTGCTTTCTTATGTGCATTTATTACTATCCTGTCTTGATAATTGTTTGCATTGGGTCTTTCCATGTTCAAAATACGCTGCCACATTTTTATATCTACTAGTTAATCAATTGTATCTAAAAGTTTTTCCACAGTAACATTAGCCCTCCTCTTCAATTGGTTGTTCTTCAGAAAATTGTTCAAACTTTCCACTGACATATTTGTGTTTACTCCTGCATTCTTCCTATAACAATGTGCCCACATTTGCGTTCTATTTGACTGAAAATAATTCCTACAAATAACAACAAATATAGCTTAATAAAAAATATTGTATTGTATAGACATAATTACTTTTTGAGATAATTTAAGAAAGCAGTTTCATTTGCTGTTTCCAATTTGTTGCAGTATGCATCCACCAAATATAAAAATTTTTCCTCATCGGTCTCATTCAAAATTTTCTTAATTTCTACTTTCATTTTCTTCATGTCCAAATCTTTAATTTTTGCTCTTCCCTGTATATTCCAATTCTTCATTATATGCCACGTACACAAAAGTTTCTTGGTTGATTATTCATTATTTTTACCCATGCCTTATAATACTTGCCATCGTCATCAGTCATGAAATAATTAGGTCTAATTTCTTCTTTCAGTTTTGCTTTTAGAGCCCCTAAAAATACTTCTTGAATTTGTTGATCTAATCTATTTGACAGAAAAAAAGCCACCGGGAATCCTGCATTTTTATCATCCTTTATCAACATTATTGTTAGATCCATTTTCTTATTATTTGTGCAATGAGTTCCATCCATACATATTATATTAGAAAATTTTTTCAATTTATCTTCCATAGTTGCATTCATGAATCCTAATGCGAAATCTTCATTCTTAAGTATCTTATGTGTTTCTCCTATAATAAAAAGATCAATTTACGAAATGCAGTTTCTGATAATATATAAGTAATATAATTATACCGTAGTGAAATATATATTATTAACGTCTTGGCTTTGCTAGAATAAACTACTTATTAAAACAAATGTTGCATTAAAGAAATAGAAAAATTATATAAGTATATTAGTACTATAGTTTACATTTTTGTTTAAATATAAAAGCATAATTCTGTCCATTTGCATTCCATTCATTAACCTTTAATGCAACTGCTACCATCTGATCCTTGTGTCGCTTCTTATCAATATTATGTCTATCATTTTTATTTAGCAAATTAAGTCTTCCCAAATTATTGCATTCTAATTTTCTTGCATCTTCCAAAATTCTGTCTGTTGGTATTCCAAGTCGTAATTTCTCCACAATATCAGTTTTTTCCGTATTTGATAAATGTTGACTTCTTAATTCATTTACGTTATGACCTAAATGGGTTTTTTGATACCATACAATTGTTTGACCTAGGTAAATTGACATCTTTAACGTTACCAATGTCTGTTTTATTAGACTCGCACAACACAAGTTTCACTTAGGTGCGATTCATGCTACTTATGTTTAATTACTTTGTTTTATAATCGAAATTTATTCCTGTATTTATATTTTATTTGTTACTTGCACCTGAATAAACTTACTTACTTACTTACTTACTATTTACATAATTCTTAATAATAAGTCTAGAAGGACAAAAGCCATTTATTTTTATAGTTCCACCAGATTTTTCTGTTCTTTTCTTACAGTTACTTTGATATCCTACAATTATATTTAATTTTGTGAAACATATTATATATTAACAGTTAACTAATAAAAAATTTACCCCTTGTATTACTCCTGTTACATGCATAATGTATTTCAGAACAATGAGATTTTTTAATTTTTCTACATAACGCGTAAGACACTTCTAATTTTTCCAATTTCTTCCAGTCTTCATATTCACTTTTGCTAGAAAAACTATAAACTATTTCATTGATACTTACCTCATGTATTTCTTCAATATGTTTATATAGTTGTTCATAAGTTCGTAAAAGACACAATTCTTCGGGACAAACAGGACACAAAATTCTACTTTTATTTTTATGTTCTACTTCTTCCTGGTGATGTATCTTTCGGATATGAGTATTTTTGTTTGATATACTTGTAAACGATTTTTCACAATATGTGCATGTAAGATCTCTCTCAGCAGTTTTCACAGAAATATCCTTCGCATAATTATGATCCATTATAACTAGATGAAATATATGTAAAATAAATAAATAAAAATAAATAATGTAGTGCTTACCTCAATTCAGTTCGCAATTAGTTTATTTGCTTCAGTTTACATTTGTTTATTTCTAGGTTTTTGACTAATTCTGGCAGTAGTTATTTTATCGCCCGCTTTATCGGACGTTTCACGTATCTTATGGCAGTTTTCTGTATCTCTTATCTAGAGTCCGTTTTTGATGGACAGATGGCACTACCAGGCTTATTCTGAAAAGTATTTTAAATATCGTAAGGTACGACTTGTGACTTTTTCTAACGCTTTTTTTGATTAAGTTAAAAATCCATTTTTAACGGACAGTAAAGAAATTTCTAGAGTTTCGAGTCGTTGGATATCGAATGTGATTCTCACGTGGATTTTCTAAGGGTTATAATATGAGCGGATGCAAAATATTTATAGTGAGTGAGTTTACTCATCCTTCGTAGCAAAAGGGAGGATTGACCCCTCATTGCTGTGTGGCGGTTCCTGTTTTGGCATTTATTTTTGGACATTTGTGGAGTTGCGTTAGGAAGTTCACAAGCTTCTGGGGAGAAAATTTAGAAAGAAGTTTTCTAGATTGGATCAAGTGTTCTCATAAATTTTATCAAGTCGAATTTGAATCTAAAGTCTGTTTCGAATCAGTCGAACTTATTTGGAAGTAATTCATATCAATGACATTTATTCAAGAATTTTTGGGTTTCACGATTTCCATTGTTTTACGATTTTTGCAAAATTTTTGAGTAATGAGGCTCAACAGACTAGATTCAAATTCAATTTGACAAAATTTGTGAGAAGAGCACTTAGTCCAATTTACAAAACCTCTTATTAATATGGTTTTTTGTCGTTTTCAGCAATTTTTGCATTTTTTTTGCAAAATATGTGGGGAGATACGGCTAATAGACTTCAGACTCAAAAATTCGCGTGATATTTCGCTAAATTTGGTAACGTTTCGCTATTATTTTTGTCAGAGAGGTATTCCGGGTTGTAAGACACCTATCTCATCAGTCCATCCAATGCGAATAGTTGGGAGATACCGAATTACGATTGTCGGTCTTTCTTCATTTCAGCTGTTCTGCTTAGAGGTTAGGTTCACTAGATATATCCTAGCTTAGACGATGTATACTACAGTCACTTTACATATTCCAACAAAGTACACAACTGCACGTAGCCACGTCGTGAACATAAATGTAGCGAGGGTCGTGTTTATGACACTTAAAGTATTAAAATGTTATAATCTAAACAAACTACTGTATGTTATTTGCTCTTTTTTTTTTTGGCCCCTTTCTTTGGCGGTTTGGTTTTTGACCTTTTTAAAAATCCAAAATAACATAAAATAACAATAAAATTGAGCCGCGAATGATACGCCTGGAACGAAAACTAAGTCCGATTCTGTACGGAGGCGTTTCTTTCTCTGGTACTACCATTCAACGTTCAACTAATAATTTCGCAATTCAAAAAATTCAGTTTTCACGACTGAATTTGGGAAAACAAACTTATGATATATGTTTCGAAAGTTGAAAGGCAGCCTTTGCATAAACATGATCCCCTTCAAATTACATCCTGTAAACAATTAGTAACCGTTTTCTACCTACAAATAATAATATAGTGGTGTACCGCCTACTTTGCTTCAAATTGTAAAAGCCTGTTAAAGACAATATTGGCATTTTGCTTTCAGTTTCAGTATTTTCTAAAGCTTTTCCAGCAAACTTGACAAGCGTAAACAACGTCCGAACGAACGACCGAAAGAAACCGAACAGCGACAAGTTGCCAGACTTCCACAGGTTAAAACTGGGTCGCGATAAAAAATAAAGCCCTTCGCCCACCCTGCAGCCCGAGCTGATCAATCTTGCTCCCTCTTAAGTACGCAACCTTAAAGGCAGCGGCTTTCGTGAGGCCTTCTTTATCTGCAAAAAGAGATGTTTCGCGGCCGGGCCAAATTTACTCTGTGAAAATTCAGACGGGTTATTTTTTTAGAGGAAAATAAAAAACACGTTCGCTTCTACCCACGAGGTGCCCAGGGCAGTATTATGTTTAAGGAATAATATTGATACAAGTAACATAAATAACGAAGTTAAAATATTTGCTTCTAAAGGCGAAATATGTAGATTTTATGGAATACTTGTTATAATATTTACAATTGCAAAAAATTTATGTTAAATTTTACTGGTTATTCTGATGCCACACTGTAGTCCAGTCAATTTTTTTTTTTAACTGGAATGTTGGGGGGTAGTTTTGATTTTTGGAGTGCTGAATCCGAATCTGACATTTGCAATGGGTGGCAATGAAGAAAAAATGCTCCATAAGGTTTTTTCCAAAAATTAATATTTTCCGAGTTATTTGCGATTGAAAATGTTGATTTTTCATCTAAAAAATGCATGTTTTTTAACCATTTTTGATAAATAATTCGAAAACCTTGCGTTTTATCGAAAAAGCCATATAAAGCAAAAATAAAGCTTTTGAAATAATGAATCGATTCATTGTTGATTACCGTAGATGTAATAATAATCGAGTTATCACTCTCTAAAGGTGATCGTTTATTTTTCGGAAAGTAAAATCGAACCTTTTGCCGTAAAATAATGGCGAAAGAACTAATTTTTCGAAGAAAATGAATATAACCTTTTTTAAAGTGATTGGAAAGACCTTTAAAATGTTTTTTGAAAAAATTTCATAGCTCAAAAACTCGCGGAATTATAATGAAAATAAAATAGTCATCTCATTTTTTCGGAGAAAAAATCAACAATAAAATCTATGGCTGAACCATAAAAATAGAAACTAAGCGTAATCTATGTACTGTTGACTGTATTTAGGTACTAATAATAGTCTCTGCAAGTTTGACCGGTTTAGAATGCCTAAATTTAAAAAAAGTTTAAAGTAATGAAAAACTTTTTTTTATTTTTGACGGTTTATGTAATAAACGCGCTAGCAGCAGTAAAAGTTAACGTTAATGAACGGCCTGCACACGGGAGTAGGAGCGCCGGGCCCGCGCACGCGCTTAAGCGCTGCCCTTGGTCACGCGAGATTTTTGAACCGATTATCTTATTAGAGTTACCTCTTATGAAAATTAACAGTTTCCAACAGTTGCATTCCAATATAATGTTCATTACTACGTCACAAATGAATCTAAACATGTGATCTGTTTGATCGCTAGTGTCCTTTGCACATACTGGGTGATCACGTGATTAATCTGAAGGGTTGAAGTAAAGCAGGTCGAGTAAATTTCCCAGTTTTATTCGTATATTTACATCAAATATAGTAAAACCACAACAATAGGTATATCGAAAAAAGGACATGTACCATCAAACGCGCTATTCTACACAACGTATCATGTTTGTTAAATTTTTTACTTTTTTTGTGTATGAAATGTTCATTAAAATGATAGATGTGGTTGCGAAATCCCATCGGTAATAATTTTTCATGAAACGTTGATCAAGAAACCCACAATTCTGTTGCCTAGTTTCAATAAACCAAAAACCTATCTATATGTATTCGCGAGCACTAAAATTAATAATAAAGCAGCTGTAATAAAACGGCAAATTGCAGAAACGGCATCAATTCCGTTCAATTTTAAATTAAGCGAATTTGTTATATCAAAGCGGGCCCATTATATTGAATAATATAGTAATACCATGCCCGCTTTGTGTTCCTACATAAATACTAACCGGATTTAATTGGAT